GTGTTATTTTGAACAACAACCATGTCGATGACATTGTTGACCAGTATCACGACATCACACAGCAAGATTATCATCTTAACAAACTTGAACATCGGCACCATCTCCAGCATCAGCCGCAGCAACACAGCCGTGGAAATTCTTCCCTATATGCAACTATTATGCGGGAATGACTCGGTCACGTTTCTATTCAGTATGATATAGGCAGTGTGTTGGTAGCTGGAAAGCATTTCCCCAGCCCACTCTGAGTTGCGATTTTCAAATGTTCGGCGTTTGTTTGGATTGAGAGTGTACTTGTCTAGTCCATCAGATCGGAGGCTGTCGGGCTGAGCATATCGCAGATTTTAGTTTTTTAGTTCGAAGTTATTTGGCCAGTTTCTGGCGGAGACCGCGGAACACATACTGAGAAGGTTGCCAAGATTCGAGCTCAAAGCACAAGTGGCAAATGAATTCCCACAATAAGTGAACTCACAGCGGCAGCCCAAATTGGATGGGGTTGGGTAACGCAAAACGGATGGACGCAGGGTTGCCGCTTTTGGGGCATGTGCGCGGACGGCGATGGCGCTGTGAGCTTCGCAGGTTGGAAAGGGTGGCTGAAACACATGCCCAACGTTTCTTTTGGTATGGCTGAGGTTCGGGTGGAATTGAGATGTGCAGTCGTTCATCTTGTGAAATTCAGCCACGTTTGTAGTCCTTGCTATTGTCCTTCCGATGCACCCGTGCTGCACGTTGTGGTTGTTGTTGGTGTGCTGGTCGTAGTGATGATATCAATGCCGATGGCAAAGTTGAACTTGATGTTCATCTATGTTAATGTTATTGCAAATATAAATGAGTGATGTTCCTGTGCCGGTCGGTTTCGGTGTCGATGTCTTCGCTGTTCTTTGTTATGTATTGTTGTTGTTTGTGTGTTTGTTCGTTGTTGTTGCTCTTGCTGCTGCTGCGGCTGCTGCTGCTGCTGCTGCTGCTGCTGCTGCTGCTGCTGCTGCTACTGGTGTTGTTGTTGTTGTTATTGTTGCTGTTGCTGTTGCTGTTGCTGTTGCAGTTGTTGTTGTTGTTGTTGTTGTTGTTGTTGTTGTTGTTGTTGTTGTTGTGGTTGTACTTGTTGTTGCTGCGCTTGCGGCCATTGTTATTGTTGCTGTTGATGCAGTAGCAGAAGCAGTGTAGCAGCAGCAGCAGCAGCAGCAGCAGCAGCAGCAGCAGCCGTAGCCGTAGCGGTAGAAGTAGGAGTAGGAGTAGTAGTAGTAGTAGTAGTAGTAGTAGTAGTAGTAGTAGGAGCAGTAGCAGTCGTAGTAGTAGTTGGTGTTGCATTGGAACCCTCAAATCCGCCCCTCAGAGAGAGATGCATGTTAAAGGCCGCAGGGATTTGGGAACTATCACGCCCCAAATCTAACCCGAAACCCTCTCACTTTTTCTTGAGGCAATTCCTCTCTTGTGGCCCGGACATGCGCGAACCGAGGTGCCTTGGGGTGAGGGCGACTGCGTTACAGGAATGAAGATGTTTTTTGGTTTAGCGTTTAGGGTTTGGCTGTTTAGGGGTTTACAGTTTAAGGCGTCAGGGCCAATTTTGACTCAGAGCGGGATTTGGGGATTTGAGTTGCTTAAGCATTTCAGGTGTAAGATTGACTGTGGGGCTGTAGATGGAGGGTTTTGGCTATCTGCCTAGAATGGCCCCAAAATAGGAGGTCTCAAGGGACTCCAGTAGTGAGTTTGCAGCTGATGGCTCCCGGCTATGGTTTGAGAGCGCGGTGTCTGGGATTAGCAGGTTTTTGTTTGTGGCAGCGGGCAGGGGGGCGTTTAGAGTCTTTAGGCTCAGAGAAATTGGACGGTCTAAGAATGAAGTTTTTGATTTTGATTTTTTTGAAGTTTGAGAAAGGATTGCAGACCTCTCCTGCGTTTTAGGGCTTGGGAGTTTTAACTCGCAACCCTAAACCCTACACCCTCCCTAGACCGGCTTAAATGAAGCCTAATGTACGGGCCTAAATGATTACCTATCTTCTGTTGGGGGGTCCTTATTATAATCATAGTCTCATGGTCCCCATAACCCTATTCACCCTATTCTACTTATTAGACCTAGCTATCACAGAGAAAGTAGGAAGTCAAGGGACTAAAGGAGGGGCCCTTAAAGGGACCCTTGGGGTTATACAGGGGCTTTACGAGGCTCCATAAGAGGTATATAAGGGTTGTAGAGGGTATTTGGATAAGGGGTTCCTCCTATGGGCCCGAAAGGAAGAACTACTAACAGGATGACCTGGTAGGTTTCTATGAACTTCGTAGCTGCATGAGTACACTACTCATATGAGCCCCCCCCATAGAACTGAAAGTTACCAGCTTGTGGGCTTGTGAACTCAGAAAATAAGAGCAGTATGCCTGATAGGTTTCTTTATGGCCATACTGTAAATTATAGCCTAAACTCCAAACCCGAACCCCCTAAACCCTAAACCCCAAACCCGACAACTTTAGGCCCCAAACCCTAAACCTTAAACCCCGAAGCCTTAAACTCCAAACCCTAAACCTTAAGCCCCTAAGCCCTAAACCCTAAACCCCTTAACGACCCCCCAAACCCTCGTCCACTCACAGAGGCCCCCTTTATTTGACCCTGAGCCTCTGCAACCCTTGGCGCAGCCAGCAATTTTTTCTGAGGCCGTAAACCCTAAAACACCTTAAGCTCGCAATCCTATACCTTCTTAGGGGTTTAGGGTTTAGGGTTTTAGGGTTTAGGGGTTTAGGGCTTAAGGGTATTATGGCTTATAATAGCCGAAGTCCAAAACCCACTTCTCCGTCCCCCCCCATTCCCATCCCACCAAGCACCATAGAGCGCACAACAAGCCAAGCACTGCAAAAACCGAGCCTGAGCTCCCGCTGCCTTTCCCCAACCCTAAACCTCAGACTAAACCCTAAACCCTAAATGGGACCCTAAACCCTAAACCTTACTTAAACTAAACTCTAAACCCTAAACCTTAAACTAAACCCTAAACCTTAATTAAACTAAACTCTAGACCCTAAACCTTAAACTAAACCCTAAACCTTTAAGCTAAAACCCTAAACCCTAAACCGTGAGCAAGAAACCTCTGAGGCGCCCATTGCTTTTCTGCTGAGGCACTTTTTCCCGGCCGGCCGATCAAAGGGTCGACAGACGTCTTGATGTAGGTTCCTCGAAAGCAGTTCTCTAGTAAGAGCAACAGCAATAAAATCAATTGCAGTTAGGATGGTACTTGCGGGTAGTGACCATAGCCAGTTGGAGCAGAAGCAGCAGCAGAAGAAGTAGTCGCACAAAAGATATCGGTCATATCAAGTACCGTAACACTTAAACATATGCGTGAGGTGTGACATCGACTCATACTATTCGTACTTCTCAGCCCCCATCTGGCGACAGCCCACGCTCCAGTTTACCGTCGAACGTTGGAGGATTAGTGGCAGCAGCTGCAGCAGTAGCCGTAGCCGTAGCCGTAGCCGTAGCCGTAGCCGTAGCCGTAGCCGTGCCGTAGGAGCACTAGTAGTAGTAGTAGTAGNNGTCGTAGTCGTAGTAGTACTAGTACTAGTACTAGTACTAGTACTAGTACTAGTACTAGTACTAGTACTAGTACTAGTACTAGTACGAGTACGAGTACGAGTACTAGTGCTAGTAGTACTAGTAGTACTGGTACTAGTAGTAGAAGTAGTACTAGTAGTAGTAGTAGTAGTAGTAGTAGTAGTAGCAGGAGTAGTAGTAGTAGTAGTAGTAGTAGTAGTAGTAGTAGTAGTGGTAGTAGTTGTACTAGTGGTAGTAATAGTAGTAGTAGTAGTAGTAGTAGCAGCAGCAGCAGCAGTAGTAGTCGTAGTAGCGGCAATCAGAATTGACAACCGTAGTCGCCGTCGTCATCGCAATAATAACCGCATAGTACTCGTCGTATAAAGATCGTAAGACGGATAGTTTAGGAATAGGACTAGGAATAAGAATAGGAGCATGAGTTGTCATGGGAATAGTCATAGCTATCGTAATAGTACTAGTAGCAGACATGGGAGCAGTAGTAGGAACAGTGTACTAATCCTCATCGCAATCGCAAGAGTACGAGTAAGAGTAAGAGTGTCGGACTATACTCAGTTTGTAGTTTCTTATCTTCGTTCCAGGCATAGCTGTTCGCTACATTTTCTGTTCTTAGTTTTGTTTTGTGATTGTGTTGTTGTTTCAAGGCGTTTATGGGAGGGTCTCGGGGTTGCTTTGACAGCATTTACTGTAAACCTAGTATTATGTGTCTTGGTGAACTGTTAGAGAAGGACCTGTGGCACAGGCTTACGTGTAATCTTCGGATCTTGCTTGGGATTTTTTGCGGTTTGCGCAGTTGTAATGTATTGGATGTCGAGTGCTGTTAATTACTGTTGTGGCGGTGGTGTGCATGGGAGTGTTTCGATTTGGCAGGGGCTTAAGGGTTGGGCTTTGCTTCTAGCTAGAACTCCAGCATAGCTGGCATGTCCATGAATTTCAACCTTCCGGTCTAAACATTCCCCCTGAACCCTCGAGCCTCAATCCGCCCTGTGGGTCACAGCGCGGAAAGGTCCGCAAGATGGTGTTGGCGGAGGGCCTGGCTCCCTCCCGGACGGTGCTGCTTGAGCGCGCCATGACACGTGGAGCCAAGGACCAGAGCACCTAGCCCCCAAAACCCTAAAAACCCCGAGGCAAATTGTAGCTAATTCAAAGTGGTAGCTGAGTCCATGAGCCGAAATGCCTGGCCTGCCCCTTCAAAAGCTCCCTAACACCATGCGTCCACCGACCAGGACGGCAATGATGGCCTCCTCCGACTGTGTCTTGGCCTCCGGTTTAGCCCAAACCACCCAAAAGGCGGTAGAAAGTTTAGGCTTCAGCTTGAGCTGCACAAATTTGATCCTTACATTCCAATCTCACTCCTTATCCCGAACGCTTCTCCCTGAGATCCTCAAGCCTAAATCCTGTAGTCGTTACAGCTGGAGATTGCGAAAACTTGCAACATGACAAGCCTGGGACTAGGCAATTGGACTTGCATTTCTGGGTGTGCTCGAGGCTTTGGGGGAAGTGTGAAAGGTGGGGTTGTGTGGGATGGTCTCCCGTGGATTTGGGACCGGGGCCTGACTCGACGCCGCTCAGAAATCGAACAGCACATTGACCTCTAAAGTCTGGCACATCCGGCCACCCTTCAAACGAAGACTAAACACTCCAATACCCCTCGAAACTGCTCGAAATTGAACCTAATCTGTGGACGAAGGTGAAACGCCCGTGAAAGCCTAGGGATCTCAGTCTTGAAGCCAAAACCTCAATATCTCAATCTAGAGGCCTCGCGCATTGAAGAGAACGGCGAGAGAGCAGTGTAACCACACCTCGTAGTAACCCATACTATAATTAAGATAATTAAGATCCTAGACAACCGCACAAAGCCCTGGAGAGCCGCTGTGCCTCCAAGGCTTGCCCACCGCGGGCTGCCAGATGATCAGAGCCTTCGAGCGAAGGTTTGGAAGGCCTGGGGCTTTTCGGAATAGGAGCCCTCACGGCTTAGAGTTTCAATCATCAGGTCTTCGGGTCCGGACTGAACATGGTTAGACGACGGGCGTAATAGCATCTGGAAGGCAAGTGAGGTTTCTTTCACGTGCTGGATTTTCTTCGGCGGGTTCAGCATGTTTGTCGAAGTTTGTAAGCCTTGCATCTAGGATGTGTCGTGGACTTGGACCTGGACAGCTAGAGGATCGGGATTTCTGAACGCAGGTGTCTCGGGTGGACGGTTCTTCAGCGGTTGCAGGACTAGAACGTAGGACGCTGGGTCACATGGTGGATGTGCTTGAGAAGCTGCGTTTGTCGATGCCAGTTTGGGCGAAACATTCCTTCGCTGCTTCATGGTAGTAAGGCCGCTAAGCGAAGGCTCTCAGGTTCTGACAAGATCGGCATCCTGGAAGGGCTCCTGCATGTACCTACGCCAAACTACATTGGAACCCCAAGTTGCATCAGACTGACAAGGGCGGCAATCTACAGATGACATCTTCTCATTTTCATGGTTAGCTAAGGAGAGGGTATGTGCAAGGCGTCCGTTTTCAGTCGAAGCACTTCTACAATCGCTTCAGGCACATGCAGCAGTAAATATTTAAATTCCCCTGAAAAGTGCCCAGATAATTGTTTCGTGATATACGCCGTAAATATTCCAATTATTAAGGCCTCTAGGGTACCATGTTCATCGGCTGGCTAGACAAGGCTCGGGAATTTGGCTGCATTCTATGCCCTAAACCCTAAGTTGAAAGACTGCTGCTAGAAACTTCTCTGACACTAGGAAGACTGATTGGCGTCATGGGTGTTACCATGAGTCTACAAGAAGGCCGAATACTCTCTTTGTCTCTATCCCTGTCTCTTTACCGCTATAGACATCCTTATATGTACATTTACTATATTTAAACTCGGATTAACCCCTACTCTATGCATGCGTATACAAATATATGTGTATGTATATATATATATATATAGTTGATACACTCATGCAAAGGCCTTGCTGGGCTACCTGCCGATGAAGCGTCACGATGAGTGGAACGCAATTTACGGCAACTCTCCATGCACTTGGTTTTACTTGGCCCAAATTCTTCGTCAGTCAAAATGTTCTTGCTGGTGTCGAAAACTCGCCGGAGACACGGCTATGGCATCGTGGCTTATGGGTTTCAGGAGGGCTTGAAGGCTACAATGTGCGGGGTTTAAGAAGGCCATGAAACACAGCACTGAAGCCTGGATCTATAACAGAGCAAGTCAGCTCCCAAAACTCGAAGACAACAAGAGCAGCGACATCCCAGACAGAAACAGCACACATCAAGCCGTACTCTGAACACCCAACCAAACCCTGGAAAGATCTAGTAGCCGGTGTTTTCGGGTTTCAACCCTAAAGGAATCCCCAGAACCCGAAAGCCTAGGCGAAATAGTGATCCCGAAAAAAACCAGGCGAGAAGCGCGCGCTGTACGCCAGCTACCGGAGTGAGCTCCTCACTGTGAGCTCGAGCCAGGAGGTTTCTCTCAACGTCGCCTCCAAAAGCCCAGGCCTCTCGCGGACTTGGGGTCTAAACCTTGTGAGCCCTGAAACTCGAACATCTCCCAAGCCGACACCGCAGGGATGCTTAGAGCTCTCTGGGTTAACCATTTTGGGGTCTAGGAATCAGGGTCTGAGCTTGCCGAGCTTTCAATTGCGTCGTCAGGTTTCGTTGAAAGGCTCAGGGCGTTCTGGAGACCGTTATGGTGGCCAACACTGGTATCAGATGCCTAAACCACTTCGGGTGTTCACGGCGAACAGGCTCGAGACCTGGACTGGTTCGCTTTAGCGCTCGCCTTGGCAGGCAGTGAGATAGACGATCAAGACCTGCTGCAGGAGATCAAAAACGTCCCTTGGATCTTTCACTTGGCTCCAGGTGCACTACCCAAAGCCCTCAACCGTTCATGTTCAAGGCCTTCCATACCCTCCAAAATAACAGCTTTCAAGGCTCGTCTTCGTTCGGACGCACCTCAAAAGCCGCAGTAGCTTGATTTTTGGGGCCGATATGCGGAGCCTCGTGGGTGTTTGAGTTCACGGATGTGCGACGATTTTCAAACCTAAGGACGTCGAGAGGACTCGTCGTGATTTCGAGTATTTCCGGCGCCCTGCCACTAAAGCAGCACTGACTGCGCTGCTCTTCGTTTATGCCAAGCTGAATCCGGGCGTTCGGTACGTGCAAGGCCGCTGGCAAGAATTAATCTTCGGCTCAGGGCCTTCGGGGATGGTGCTGCATAACCCTGAAAACACCGCCAACCCTGAAGCAAATAATTCCCCAAACCCAAGTTCTGAAGCTCTACACCGAGAAGCCTGAAGCCGTAAAAAACCCGTCATGACTCGGCAGGGCCCTTTACAGCTTCGAAGTCGCCTTCATTTTAAGGATTGGGGGAACTATCCGAAGCACCTAGACCTAGACCCTTCGGACCCTTTTGCCTCCCACAGCCCTCCTCACGCTTAGCCCGCACTCGAACACCGAACTCCAGATCGAAATGAACTGAACCGAGGCATGAACGAGATCGCCGCCGTTCTGCTTTATGTAATGTCTGTAGAAACCGATGCAGAGACCGATGCCTTCTGGTGTTTCAGCGAGATGATGGCTGAAACTTGTCGAGCCTTACAGCTTGGTGTCTTTCTTCCAGGAGGCTGAGGTCCACGAGAGTTTGCGGCTCTCGTGGCTTTTGGACCTAAGTAAGGGTTTGGGATGTGGGGCTTCGGCTTTGGTGGTTTGCTTTTGAAAAAAAGGTGCTAGCTGGGGCTTCAGGAACTTCAAAGTTGTTGGGAGGGTGGGGCGTCGCGAACATCAACATGTTCCGAGCACCAGTTTTGGCGTTGAATCCCTTCAATGGCACGTATTTCTGAGACGCACATGCCAACAGCTGTCTCGAGTCCCGCAACATAATTATGAGGCAACATGAACGAACCCAAGCTCGTAGAACTAGGAAGAGCCAAAAGGAAACTGGCCCGGCCAAATCCAAAGGAGATCAAAGATGGTTTCATGCAAGCTCTGGACCACAGTGGGGAAGGTGCCTGGCCTAAACGCGTGGTGGCGTTCCTTTAAAGCCTAAACCCCTGAAGTCTGGTGGTTTTGGGCCGTTGCTTTGAAGGACCTGTGTTTAGCTTTCGGATGCCAGGCTCGGCATTCCACGGAGGGGCTTCGATCGGGTTTGAAAAGTGTAACAGTGAGAGTTGAGCATACGCGGACCAAGAAGTGCTCGACCTCTCTGTAGATCTCAGCAAGTGTCCACTTTAAACACCCGCGCCTGCAGGCGTCTACGGCATGGTCGAGGAGATCTCGCAGATGCTGCGGAGCGAGAGCCCCAGGATTTCAACCGTTGGAAACCGGGAGGTTCTCGGGAAAATCTGCAGTCGGGCGTTGAGCTCGCCTCAAGGCTCCAAACGCAACGGTCTAGCGCACGTGCGTTTCGGTTCTGGCTGTGGGGACGGAGCATCCGTCGTCCTCTCGTCCGACTTCTCGCTGCAATAATGTAGCTTCCCGACGGCTTCCGGGTTTCTCGGAACAAAGCAGAACTGTTAAAGGGCAAGATGGCTCGTGAGAGGTCGCTTGATCCGTGCTGAGGCTACGACCCGCAGCTCGCCAGGCCAGGGTCGGAACAAGGACCTGGGGTTGAGCTTGGGCTTTGTGGCTGACTAGTCCTTACACAAGCCACCACACGAACTTGTCCCTCACTTTCCGCGAGTTGCTGTAGTCGCGGTGTAGAAAAGAACAGTCGAAAGTGAAGTCCTTGGTCTTAGTTTGTGACGTGCACAAAGACATACTCGTATGTAAAGCCACCGGCCTGGATGTTTCCTTCGACTATTGAAGATCCACTCGTGCCTGAGTTTCGCCTTTTCGCCGATCATCACTGTGTGCCATCGTGTTTGCCGGAGGCATCTCGCGCGCGCGGAGCTGTCACTTTTTGTCTTCGTCCTGCGTTGGTGCACCGACACTTATCTCGAACCAGACGGCGAGGCATGGTCTACAGCACAGCATAAACGACAGGGGAGCTTAGGGGCGTGAATTCCTGCAGATTTAGGTGACAGGAGGCTTAGTGTGCACACTGACCCTGAAGAGTGCTTTCCACCGACTACACTATGGTTTAGGGTATAGTCTCATGTTGCTTGATGTTCTGTTGATTTGGCCCGCATCTATCCTGGGAGCTGCCACAAGAATGATTGCTCTGCCCCAGGTCCTTTTCGCTCAGGTGCAAACCGTCACAGGGATCGGGGGGTTGTGATTGGGCTTGCTTTAAGAGAGCATGTTTCGGAGCCCACAGGGTGATGATTGGATTGAGACGGAGGGTTGGACGGTTCCTGCTGAAAAGTGAAGGGTTTCTGCGCTTGCGGCTTCAGACTTAGAGTGGCCCGTCAGATCATTCACGCAGGTTAGCAAGCCAGCTCAGACAAGACCCAAGTTTGAACCACAACCACTTCATTTCTTCGATAGGGTTTACATAGGGTTTGGACACTACCACTACCGTTGCTGTCAACACCCTCTAGACCTCATGAGACCATCATCTCGTCGAAACCGAAAGCCAACAACCCAGAACCCCAAGTCAACCTGGACCCAAACCATTCAACACGAAACCGAATCCTGGACCTGAAATCTGAAAGCAAAACTCAGTTCAAGAAATCACGCAGCCCTTGGGAACAATTGGAAACATGAACTGGGCCACGATCCGATCTGCGAACACTGCCGAAGCCTTCAAGGGCTTCAAGTTGTGGGTGCGTGGGGTGTTCAAGATTTATGGTTGTTGCCTTTCTGCCGAAGGATCTAGAAATTTAGGCCATAGAGTTTAGGGTTGAGTTCTGGGGGCAGGATGCGACGCTGCCTGACGTCCTCCGGCCCCTTCGCATCAGTCGAGCATGCTTTGCTGCGGTGGCCATTTCCATTCCCGAGATTATGACGGGCAATAGTGCAACTGTTAGTTTTGACGGAGTCGCCGTCGTAGCAGTAGTAGTTTTGTCTTCTTCTCGTCGCAGCTGCAGCAACAGAAGCCGTAGCAGTAGCGGTAGCAGTGGCAGTAGCAGTAGGAGTAGGCGTAGGAGTAGCGGTACGAGTAGGAGTACGAGTGGGAGCACGAGGAGGAGGAGGAGGAATAGGAGTTGTTGTTGTAGTAATACCAGCAGCAGGAGTAGTAGTAGTAGTAGTAGTAGTAGTAGTAGCAGTAGTAGGAGTCGTCGTCGTAGTAGGAATAGTAGTGGTAGTAGTAGCAGCAGCAGCAGCAGCAGCAGGAGTAGTAGTAGTAGTAGTA